CCTGGCTTGTTTCCTCTTCCTGCCCTCTGCTCGTTTCATCTGGCACATCTGCACTTTTCGGTTAGCCCTGCGCCTGCTTTCTGTTTCGTCTTTTCTCCCGTCGAGAGCACTCTCCAGGCCTGGCTCTTCAGTAGAGAAGCTTCAGTGCTCACAATACCACCGCAATTCCCTTGCCTGAGTCCATCCCCAGGTCCAAGCGGCTCCAGCCTTGGCAAGGCGTGGGGAGGAAAACCATCCCACTCAGCTACAACACCACGCTCACATGGTTACAACTTGGGCATAAAACACATTTATTGGTCAAAACTTTATAAACCAAGAGCATTTAAAAAGCACACAGCAACACGTCCAATACAGAAAATACAAAAATTCGCCATCTCCTATAAAGATTTTAACAAGAAATAAATTGTTATTTCACAGTTTTGAGCCATATAAAGAAGGAAAGCCCTGGTGATGGGTATTAAAGAGGGCACATTATGCATGGAGCACTGGGTGTTATACGCAAATAATGAGTCATGGAACACTACATCAAAAACTAATGATTAACTAATGGTGATTAACATAACATAATAAAAATAAAAGAAGGAAACCTCTTCGATAAATGTCTCCAGTTTTTATTTAGAGAATGAAACTGTTTCTTAGGAACACCACGCCTAAAGGTCACTGTGCTCCTGGAGAAACCTCCGTAGCAATTTATGTTTTCCATATACTAAGAAAGGGAGACAGTCATTTGAACACTCCGCATATCCAGAGGAAGACAAGGGAGGATGGCAGAGGAAAAAGAAGTCTGCAGATAAAGCTCCATCTCCCACTAAATGTCATTACCATGAGAGAACAAGGGCCAGGCAGAGACCATAGAGATAGAGCCAGAGGGGACCTTATAGAGATCATTCACTCCTAAGAGGAAGGAAAGAGCCCAGGGCACCCAGCCAGTTAGTGGAGGACCAGAGGCTAAAGGATTATTTGAAACAGAAGCCCCTGGAAGGTAGAAAAGAATAGCACAGCTGTGTTTTCTGGTTGTCTCTGCATGACTGTACCCCACACGGGACAGTTGGAAACCAACCAGAAAGACCGAAGGCTCCAAGTGGGTCTGGAAACGGAGCAGGGGAGAATTACACAGCCCTTGGGAATTCAAGAAGGTCAGATTTATCTTTATTCTCAAGAGAGCCTAAGATAATTCTTAACCAGAATCTAAGAGATGTTAAAAAAAAAAAAAAAAAAAAGCAGCTGTAACAATCCAGCTGGATGAAGCAAGAGCCAGAATGGGCTTAGGGCTGTCAGTATGGTGACAGATTTGCTTCCACTTCTGAGTAACGGGACTGCCTGGACCTGTATTAATTGTCACAACGTGACTGAGAGGAGAGATCCTTCACTCACCCTGGTCATAAAGCACTTTGCCTTATCCTGCTGCTCAATAAGTAAGGCTCTAGTGGATTAGCTTGTTGTTGAAAAACTTGGACGTCCCCCAGTGCACATCACCGAAATAGCTCTCGCAGAAGGAAAAAATCAACAATGCGGTGTACCGGTCTCAAAAAAGAAAAATGTTCTAGGTCCCAAGAAGACAGAGCTCGCTTCAGAGTTGTTAAATCCCTTGCATTTCAGGAGTATTTTTAATCATGCTCTGTGTTTGGACACTTGAGTTTTATAGGAGGGTTCACAGGTTGATTAATCAACAATTATGGAAGAGCCGTAGCTCCTCCTGTTCCATCAGGGCAGAGGAATACGAACGTGGAGTGGGTGCCAATCGACATTAAGCTGTGGATTAATCTGCTTCATCTGCAGAAGGACTAATGCCAGACACAAAGCCCCTTCTAGCTCTAGAACTTGGCTTCTATTGACACAGTCTATCAAACTTCCAGGTTAGCGCCATAAGCGTTCACCCTCCCACCCCCCAGAGAGCGCTGAAGGCCCACGCTCTGTGGGGGGCAGGATCAAAGGCACACAAGATGCAGATTCTACTACCTCGGAACCCATCATCCCATGAGCAAACATGGATGGAGTTAGGCTTTCGCCTTCCCACATAAGATATTAAGGCACTAGGCTGTGTTTGGGAAGGATTAAGTCAAATAACTGATATATAAGGTATTTGACAAATTCCTTGGTTTTAAATATAAAAAGCTGCTTCTGTACTTGCCATCCTAGAGAAACTGGCACAACTAGGTGGTTATATGGAAGTCGACTTGTTTCTTTTTTCCTTTGAAAAGATATACAAATTCTATTTGAAAGCAACTCTCCCAGCCCCAGAAACAGGCATTCTATTTAAAAAAGACAAATACGGTATGAGAACTGGCCATCTTGGCTACTGGGGGGGAAAGAAAAAAAACAACAACCACCAATCAACAAATCCCATCCACATTGTCTCTTGTCCAAGGAAAAGAAGACAGAGTAAATGCACCCAAAATGCGTTTTCGTATTTGTCACAAACCTTGGTAATTTGCATTGTGGGTGCGGTGGTTTGGAAGAATTGCCAAGTTACAGAAGTGTGGACATTGCATCTCGATTCTACCTTCTGTGCTTCCCAGGACAGAAGCATACCTTCTCCTGAAGGTAGGGATTGTACTTTTAATGCTATGCATACAATAAAGGCTTACTCATCGTCCCTGAAGTATATGTACTTTGATTGTCTCCCTAGTCCCAGTGAAGGGTTTTCATAAATCATGCAGCATCTCTTGCCCTGGTTCCCCTTGGGACACAGCAAAACTGTCTGGCCTTCCTAAGGACCAAAGCTGCAACCTTCAATGTGAGCATAATCGACTTAGCTGGATATGGATAATAATTTCAATCCTTCTAGCTGTGAGACAAAGGAAATGACTCAGCCTGTGCCCAGTATGCAAGAGAAACAGGAGACAGAAATGTCCAAATTAAATCATAAGTGCACATTTTCTCAAGGCAATTAGCTCAGTTTCTCTTACTGTGTCCTGGGGTTATTTTTCTTGCTGTTATTGTTTTGCTTTGCTGTTTAAATTTTATGTGCAATTGCAGAGTAGATGAGAATCTTTAAAACAGAGGCGATTTCTGTCACACTATATTAGTGAATACAATACATGGCTCACATTTGTGCTGTAGCAAAAATTCATGTCCACATCCTCATCTGCAATCTGTAGGACTTTTATTAAGGGACTTCTGGCTGGATTAAGATCTCTGGAGACCCAGAGAAAGAAAAAGAGATAAAATCCCTAATTTGTACCTAAAAATAAGATTTTTACAGATGCCAAAATTAAAGTTGCTGATGTCTGGATTTCTGAAACGGCAAAATTTGAGATAAATTCATCAGAGCAAAACTTTTCTCATTTTTCAGCACCTCTGTTTTACTACATGTGGACTTTAACTGCTTCCTAGATGACCCAGCTGATGTTGGGGGCGTCAGCTTGGCCCCCACTAACAAGTACAAGATTAAAAATCATACCTTCATGAAATCACAAGAGACTATGTGTTGTGAGTGCTTAATAAGCTTCTCTAAAGGAATGAAATTCATAGGTTTTATAATAACTTAAAGGTCTTTATTGTTGTGGTTACGTGGCCTTCACAGCTCTATTCTGAAGACTGACCCCTGACCAGCGGGGGTGTGTCATTTTCCGTAAATGGTGCTCCTTGATGCCCGGCTGGGGTTGAGTAATACCAAAAAAGGATTTATAGTCAAATTTTTTGCATCTATCAAAAATAGGTTGTGCCCTATTCCCTGCTTCGATTACAAAACTGATCTAATTTCAAGGCCATGGGTCAGTGGACTCCTGGATTGCTCAACCAGCGTGAAGCCAAAGTGATGCTGGCCAAAACAACCTCAAATGGAAGCATGGAGGAGGTTCGCTTTTTCTTGTGTGAAATGCTCTCATTCCCCAGCATGGTTTTGTCTGGCTGATGCTGAACTCAGTCCAGGCTCTAGCCCAGGGCTTGATTTTTAAAAATCAGAGGGCTGAAGATATATTACTAGTAAGTTAGGACAACTCAGGGAAAGTGCCCCCAAATACCTAGAGTGGAGGAGGGAGAGAAGCAACAAGCAGCAATGCAGATCATCTGGAGACTACACATTCTTCTTCCTTATGGTAATTGACAAGTAAGTCTTGTTGATTACTGTCCTGAGACAAACAGACCCAGCACATTCTCTCCTTCTGAAAGAGGGTCTTTTCTTAGAAGAGGTTCATAAAAATTCTTCACCTTAAGGCAAAGGTGGTTTGTGGGTTCATCTATAAATACATTCACTAAACAAGTACTTATCTTGTGCCCGACCCAGGCACTGGGGAGAGGTCAACGCATAGGATGAACAGGGTTCCCACTCTGGTGGACCAGACAGCTGTAACTGGGCACCTCACAACCAGACAGTGCACTTCCTCTCATAGCTGGTCTTACTCAAAGAGGCCATTTGGGAAGAAAATTAAAACCATTTCTATTACCACGAAAACCTTTAGGAATTTTAATGTTCTAAAGCATGTCTCCCAAAAGATCTCCTTGTCTATATAGCAAATGAACATACTTCTGAGCAAATGACAAGCATGAGTATTTCTAAGCATGAATGGAAATGAGGAGACATGCTCTCCTCCACATGGGCTTCCAGATGGTAGATTCATCCTATTTCAAAACCTGCATAAAAATTCTGCACTATTGTATAAAAATGCATTGGTTGATGTGACCTAAAGGATCAAATTATCTAACTCTGAAAAGTAACATTATTCACCAAAAAATGGCCTGTTCAAGCAGAAAAAAAGAAAGAAAGAAAGAAAGAAAGAAATGATCTCCTCTAGCTCGGTGTGGAAAATTAGTTTACACACCGTCTCCTAACTGTTCCAGCTGTGCTAAATAAGAACTGTCATATTTAGTGAAGACACTGCCTTAAATTCTTGTGATTTTGGTAAAAGGGTCTAATTATTTTTGGAAACTGTCATTTTTTTTTTTTTGAGCACACAAATAATCCTAAACCTTTTCTTATCCCGAGAAATGCTTGCACCTTCCCAAATGAGGAGGATTATTAGAAGGGTTATAGTCATCTCCAACCTTCTCCTACAGTCACCCACTGTATTTTTATTTCCCACGGATACACATCAACATCTGTCACCATAAGTAATACTTTTCAGTTGCCACTTTGATTCCAGACTCAAAGAAAAAAGTCCTTATTTAAAATATGTATCCTCCAATGGGATGTTCTCTCATCCTCTCAAATGCCTTCTCAGAGTATAGTTACTTAAAAGTGAGAGTCTCGTGCTCAGGAATACCGTACTTCCTTTTGTGTGCCTCAAATAGTTTCCTTAGCTCTTCCATATAGGTCTGATGCAACTCCTCAATCTGCTCCGGGCTTGGGTGCAGAGTCTGATGAACAGGGATTGGGCGACCAACTGCAAAAACAGAGAACACAGCTGACGTAAGAAAATGAAACCACTCCACCACAAACGGCTACCTCTCATGGACGGCTCTGGAAAGATCTACCAATCAGAATCTGTCAGGCCTGCCTGCTCCAATCCCTTGCTCATTTTACTGGCTGCCTCCAATAGTCACACCATCCCATTTGAGAACCAATAAAGAACTTTCCTTCTCTGCAGTCGCTGGAGTGGAAGGCCCCTGGTGGTTTTGACCTGAGTCAAGTGAACTACTGGGCTGACCACAGCTGTGAGGTTAAGAGGACATAGCTGTGTGTGCACGTCACCAGCTCTGTCCCTCTCATACAGCTGACAGCCCAGCCACAGTACCCTATTGTGACTGACTCCAAAGTCTCGAGTCGTGAGGCATCAGCCCTCTCCTCTCTTTTTAATGTCCTTCTAAAAATTTAAGGAATGTATATCTTCCAGCTAAGAATCTGTATTAGAAAACACACACAATCACAAGAATCCCACTGTTAAGAGTGGAAAACAAAACCAAGCAGAAGTCTCAGTAGAAAATTTATTAAATAAACCACAGAACACTCATGCAACAGAATTCTAGGCAACAATTTTTTTAAAAAATGAAATTATATGTATACACATACACACACACATCGAGGTCTAAAATGTATGGGGGGGGAGTTGCAAAATAATACAGTACGATCCCATTTGTGAAAAGGTATTTATATTCCTAGGTGCATAATAAGCTTTAGTGCATTTAAAAAGTCTAGAGAGAGAGACTAATACCCATTACCTCCAGGAAGGAAGGAAGGTAGAGATGGGGGACTTTTCACTTTAGCTGTATGGTAGGAGTTTTCTACAATGAGAATGCATTTGTGTTTTACCTGTAATTAAAAATGAGCTAATTATTATGTAACCTGGGAACTTCTATACATATTTAAAAAGGTGTTTAGAGTATGTCTCAGACTGTTTGAAACTACAAGATACAGGTGGCTTTGGCACCTGCTTTCCTGGGTCCTCCCGGCTCACTGCGCCCCCTGCTGCTCACTGATGCCAAGAGTTGAAAACCTACAGGATGTTCGGTGACGTGCTGGAAAGCAAACAGCTTCTTATTACCCTCTATTAACTTGGGTATGAGGTCAAGTGGGGCCGTAGGTAATGGAATGGAACTCAGAGCGGAGAGAGGAGGTTTCCTCTGGCCTACTCTAGGTTGTTCCGGGCTACATCCAAGGTTCAAATCCACGTCAGTAACAGAAGGTGGTGAGTTAAGGGAAAACCAAGCAAATGTTAACGCAGAGAGAAAGAAGGAAGTGATAAATGACATCAGTATGGGAGGTAAGGGGGCACGGAGAAGAGAGTGATACACCACACACACATATATAACAAAATGTATTACTAAGAAGATTATCTATCTATTTAATGTTGCAGTAAGGAGACAAATAGAGACACACATAGTAGATACATACCACCTTACTGCAGTATTAATATTCTCCAATTGCTAAGTTTTTAATCAGATACAGCCTCAAGAATCTCACATACAGTTTTCTTTTGATAGCCTGGATGTCAAATTTACAGAGAGTGGACATCAGTCCTTTGTAACTCAAGAGAAAGAACAGGAACTGTCTTGCTGTCATTTGTAGTTGGAAATACAGATGAGAGGCTAATGGGGTGATGGTATAGAATAGGAGCTGGTGCTCGACAAAGGGCGCTAGACTAGACCAGTACACTGAGCTAGTAAGTTTTTTCCTCGCTGGCCTTAGTTCTTACATCCATAGGATAAAAATGTAGAACTCAATGATCTTGAAGCCTCCTCCTAACTCTGACCTTTTTGTTTCAAGAAAAAAAACTGAGAAATCTACATGTGAATTGAGAATCTATCAGGCAATGACAATAGACTAGCAAATTCACAGTTTTACAGAACTAGCTCCTGGTAAGTGAAATTGACCAAAAAGAAAGGTCAAGTGCAACTATTCAAGGTGGGTGGGTGGGGGACTTAGAAAGAGACTTAGTGGTCTGAGAAGCTGAAGTGTGTTGTTCCCAGCTTAATTAAGACTCGTGAATTTTGAATTATTAATTAAGTCTTACTTCCTATCAGCTATACTACAGCTAATTTCAATCCTGTTCTTATTCATGGGCTCACTCTATTTCAGATGGTTCTTCCGGAGAGCTCAAACATGCCCATGACTTCTCCCTTTAAAGTGGGAGATGGGCAGCTTCATCCTTGCCTTTCTCTTGTTTACCTATAGAGAAACAGAGATGCTGGAAATTCCCAAACTATACAAAAAGAACGGGAATTTAGGATGTAAAGCCAGTTCTCCTGCCCCTCCTACTAACCCAAAATTAGATCAGAGAGTAAGAAATCGTTCTCAATTACTTGTTAGGGATAAAGACAGAGGTCACAAAACAAAAACTTGCAAATCTGAGAAGGGTCCCCAGAGCCCTAGAAAACCAAAATTCATTCTCTCTCTCTCTCTCTCTCTCCAAAAAGGAGATTCTTTACTACTAAGGAGAAGAAAACAAAGCTAAGACTAGTTAGTTGCAAATTGCCCTGTAACTCTCTTTTTACAACACAAAGGAAAAAACCAGCTGCATCAGGCTGCTCTTGCAAATAGAACTCCTTGCCCTGGAAAAATCAATCATCATCTCCTTGTGGCAAAGTCAGGAATCATAGTGCTCCTGTTTGTTGCGGTGCTTTTTATAGCTGGCGTGCATGTTTGGTCCATTTTCCAATTCCATCCAGCAATTCAAGATTAGTTATGCACTTACAGGCTCACACGGCAGTCTCGCCCTATTTCTACGGTGCTGTGTTGTAGTTAACCAAGATGAAGAATGAGCAGCTTCATAGGGCACTGCATACACGGCTGGAGAGGAATTTGGAAATGGGCATGATTTTCTTCTCGTTGAGGCAAAGAGTAAATCTCTTGCAATAAGAGGTATTTCCTCTATTTTTCTTTAATTATGAAAATTCACAGAGTTTATCGCTCTAACAGTTTCACACAGGAATTAGTCTTTCTCTGGATGCTACACGAGACAAAGGCCAGCCTGTTGGCAGAGGGGGTTGGGAAGAGTCAAAATGTGGATGCCAATGAAACCTGAGTTCACTGAACCTGTGACTTATTGGGGGAGGCTCAAATATGCCGGATGTGAGGAGAGAGAGAGAGTGTGTGTGTGTGTGTGTGTGCGTGCGCGCGCGCGCGCGCGCTTCCATACATTTACTGAACATTTAACAGGTTGTATTGGGCACCATGTTAATCCCCTTAACATTTTTATCTCCTTATCTCGCTACTTTACATTTAAATTTAAATTAGGTTCCCTTCCTTTCTTTGTATTTCAGAGAATCGCTTAGCCTGCTTCCCCGCCCCCCAATCAGGATATAATAATGACTTGAAATACAATGGACCACTTTGTCCTCATGTGGTTTCAAACCAGTTTTATTTTATTAAAATACATTCCTTTCCCTATCTTTATGTTAAAAAATTCAAAATTATAGAAAGAATAAGCACTTGCATACTCTTCCTCTAGACTCACCAGTTTTGAACATTTTGTGCATACCCCCGTGCATATTTACATATGTGTTATTTTTATTTTTGTAGACCTGTTTGAAAATAAGTTGTAGACATCAATGGTTCAATCGCGCTACCATCCCTAAATATTTCGGCATGAAGTACCTAAGAACAAAACCCGTTCTTTTTAACAACACCATTATCATACCCAAGGAACTTAACTCTGTATGATATTAATTTTGTACTGAATCCACATTCAAACTTGATGAGTTGTCTCAATGATATCCTTACATATGCTTCCCTGCCACCCCCCCCCCATGACAGCTGTTGTGTCTTTGAGTTCTCTCGTCTTTTTGGTCTTTTACAACATTAATATTTTTAAAGAATCCAGGCCAGTTGTTTAATACAATGTCTCACAATCTGAATTTGTTTCCTCATGATTTGATTCAGATGAACACTTTGGCAAGAATACTTATACAGGGAGATGGAAACACATTTAATAGCTCTCAACAATCTGGCCAGGAAGTCTCCTGCACCAACCCGTACTCTCCTAGCACCTGGGGCCTACGGAGCACTTTCCCACGTACCACATCATTTGATCCCCAGCATAACCCTAAGACAAGACAGGACAATTATAATAGTCTCTTCTTCAGAGTTGTAAAATCTGAGGCTCAGGGATGAGAAATGAAACCACCTAAGTCACTCAGAATCAGACTCCAAGTCCACATTACTTCCTTCTGTAAATTTAGTTGATGCATGATAGAAACAGCTTCTAGATGTCAATATTGGTTTGTGTGGCCGGTGCCTGAGCGTTAGACGCTACCATCATGTTGGGTCTACAATGGAAAGAACCAATTTCTTAATGGCAGTGATTATATTTTTCAGTTTTGCCATAAATGTAAAAATGAAACAAACACTTCTATACATCCATAATCAAAAGGCAGGCCAAGGAGTTACGAAGTCAGCCGAAGTTGTGAGGCTGGACAGAATGGGAAGGGAGCCCTTCCTCAGGCCACATGCAAACACAGCTGATAAACCTGTCTGGATTATCCAGAATTCAAATAATCTAACACTGGGAGGAGGGAGGGACAACTAATTAATACAGAAGGAATACTAGAGCTAGAAAACCACCAGTTTGCAGCCATGACTGCCTTAATCAATTCAGGCAAGAATTATCAATGGATATTAAAGCAATCAAGTCAAGTCTGATGAACAGAATAATTACACAGTGTCTAAGTAACACTATCCCCAGGTTACTTGTTAATGAAAAGGAAAAAGTCTTTATAAATATAATACATATATACTTAAGTATATAAATATAAAAGATTTCTGTAGATTAATCTTTGTGATTTAACTTTATAGTAGAGAAATCTGGTAAACACCCGCACTCAAGTGATCAAAATGAGTACAGCCAACAATGGGGCAAACTGACATCAAGAGCCTCTTGATATGATGTACTGAGGAAGACACATCATTTCTGTGGAATTCTTGCCACAAATGCATAACTGTAATATA